CACACACACTCCGTGTTTATGCGCGCATGTGTGTTCTCGCGTGCACTCATTCGTTTTTGTGTGCGTGCGTGCGTGGGTGGGTTGTCATGTTGGCTATGGACAACTCCACAAAACGAGCATGACTGAGCCACAGACTGTTCCGTTGGACTTTCAACGACTCGCCAGGAGGTTGAACCCCGACACTCTGCTCACAATGCAATTGCACACTCGTGTGGGCGCATGTACCCGCGCGATGCCATGTTCGCTACACAATTCCACAAACTCAGGCATAACTGAGAGAGACAGAGGGAGGGGGAGAGAGGTTGTCCTCGACTGTAACAGCCGTCAGTCGCACAACAGGGCCGAACGATGCAGCGCGTTGAGGAGTGTGCCCGCCTAGAGTCGTTTGTCGGCTTCGCTAGGTGCAATAAAGGCGGGCCTTTAGACTGGAGTAAGGCAAGGGCACCACCCTGCAATGGCCCAATGCCCAACAGGTACCGGGCGGTTCTTTCACGACGGCCCCTTTTTCCAGCAGTCACGACGATTCAGGCCATCTGCGGTCCTACCGGGCCAATGGCTCGGATCCTCCCGCGATCTTAAGACTCTAAGATAATCACACAATCTTGAAGTCTTGAAGTCTTAATATCATGCGGAAATCCTGACTATCGGGCCAGTAGGACCACGGGCGGCCCGGATCGGCCAACTCTCACATTACCAACTTCTATAAGTGTAGAGATGTATCCAAGAGATTTACCTGTGATACAACATCAGATCTGCTGTCAAACAGCACCATCAACACAAAACCAAATGTGAGGCAAGACCGGATGAATGGCAAGCTGCTACAGTGAACTACACAACAAATCCCCGAATAGTGCAAGCCGTAACCGGATGAATGGCAAGCTGCTACAGTGAGCTACACAACAAATCCCCGAATAGTGTGAGCCGTACGAAATATATTTAGTCAGAAACTTCTGACATATCATCCCTGTTGTGAAAACTACCACTACCCAAGAATGTTCACCCTCAGTCTCACAAAGCATCAAAAGACCAGCATGAGCTAATCTTTAAACATCTGAAATAACAGGCATGACCAGACTGATAGTTTCCCAATCATACCATCACTTTTCCAGACACGTCATCATGATTTCTAGTTCTCACCCGACTCCTTTATGTCGCCGTGAGTTGCGGTCCAAAATAAGCCGTACATCCCGAACCTGCGAGGGGCAGGAGAGCACAAGACAAACAGCTTGATAAGTGCTCCACATCCAAACCGGAAAGCACATAGAATAAAATTGACCACCAAAACAAAAACACATTGGCCAACAGCCAGCAGAAAAGTCCATAGAAACAGTACTTCCATTATTATATTTCCTGAGATGCAAACATTCAGAGGTCACCAAGAAACCCACAACAGCATAGGCCAAAAGAACAACAGGAAAGTATAAACAACCTACGAGGCTACAGGCCCCACAAATCTGCCATTGCAAGATGTGGAGCAAAAGCAAAACTCATCCCAAGTTAGACGCAGGGGCAGAGGCTTAAATGCCAGTCTTTCCTGCAAAGCCACAGATAGGATGAAAGCCAGAGACCACCCACAAGAATTCATCTTCCGACTGAAGAAAGAATCCTGATCCTGCACACATCTCCTAATTCTCTGAGAAAAAGAGGGGAAGTGCTGAGCCAGGAGTAGTTAACAACTAGCTCTACAAATGAAATAATATAAGTTTATCAGGACAACACTTCCTACTGAGACAACCACCCCAAAAGTAATAAAGACCATACATTCACAAAGAGATGCAATCTTAGCTCCAGTTACTCCCCTCATTCGCATGTCACGTAATGCACAGCCGAATGCGTCCACAATTATACAAATCACTAGCAGAAGAATTTTGAAATCCGGTCCGTCTGAAGTCCTGCCAGGCTGAGCGCCAGGATCTCCACCCGATCATAACTTCATGTGGGGGACCTCGGCTCGGTAGTGCAATTCGGCGTACCTGATCACCTGTCTATCCCGCCTATTTCGTACTCGGTACACGAGTCCTGTGATCAAGACAGATTGGTCCAACAACCTTTTGGACCAGTAGCATTTGGGTTGCACACGGGCATTTTTTAACCAGTCTTTGTCATGGACTTCGCCTGGTCCTGAAATGGGGGCTTATTGAGCCGTGAACTGTTGAACTTGGTCATCTCTCTCTCTCTCTCTCTCTCTCTCTCTCTCTCTCTCTCTCTCCCCCTCCCTCTCTCTCCCTCTCTCTCGCTCGCTCTCTCACACACACACACGCACACGCACACACACACGCACACACACATGCACAGAGACATATGACCTCGCCCACATACACAAACATACATGACCATACCCGCACACAAACACATCCACCAGCAGAAATACCTGGACACACAAACACACACACGCTTCCACCCACAGCACTCATGTGTGAGAGAGAGAGGTGCGTACGTAGTTAGTTCGTTTGTGTTAGATAGAGACACCGAAAGCATGAGAGAGAGTCGCATGCAAACACACATGCAAGCACACACGCACATACAGAGAGAGAGAGAGCAGCGCACGCAGACAAACACACACGTGCACGACCACAAACACGTGTGTGGGCTTCTCACAGGGCCCTACATGCGCACACACACAGCGCATGCTCAGGCTTGGGCTCGTTCATTGAAGACACGGAGAAAGGGGGGACAGGAGAAATAGAGACCTGGGGGAGAGACAAACATAGGCCAGCCTAGGGGAGAGAGACAAACACAGTGACACAATCAAAATATGCAGCTATCAAAATCAGAGAAAAATAAAATGAACTCAGAACAGAAAAAATACCCACGCATGCATGCCTGGGAACTCACTCACCTAGGGGCCAAATGATGACCAGTCAAAGGCCCCCAAAAGGTCCAGGCAGACGAGCCACCTGCCCAAATCAACGCCTGGGCCTCCAGGCCGAGTGTGCGAGGCCCCGGCATGCCACATGCATGTAAGTAATTAGTTCCTTTGGTTAGAGAGAGAGAGTGTGTACACACGCACACACATGAGCATGCTCAGCACACAGACATGCGGATGCAGGAATAGAATACGAGAGAAACAGACACACATGCGCACGAGCACTGACATGGCTCACACACGGCCGTCCACACAAGCATGCACACACTCGCACACATGCTAGTCGCATATGCACGCATGCAGTCACACACACACAAACTTGCGTATACAGAAACACTTAGGCACACACACACGCACACACACACACACACACACACACACGCACACACACACACACACACACACACACACACGTTGAGGGGAAGAGAGAGACATTCATAAGTAGTTAGTGTACACAAGGGAGAGAAAGATGCGATAGGCATGTAGAGCTGGTCTGATTGGTAGAGAGAGATCACACACATGAAAAGAGTGAAAAAGACGCATGTTGGTTGTGTGTGTGAGAGAGAGACGTACTTGAGTCAGCGTATGCAAGAGGGGGAGAGAGAAAGAGAGGGACAGCCGAAAGACGAGGATAGCGAAAGAGAGCGAGAGAGCACCCAGACAGCATTCCACCCCGATGCCTAACTCATCCCGATCACTATCTCCTTTTCCCCCAATCAAATTGTGGTCCCCTCCTGCCTTGCCACATTCTCCACGCCGCAAGTAAAAAAAAAGGATCAAATACTATCTCCTTTTCCTCCAATCAATTGTGGCCCTCTCCCACCTGCCCACAGTCTCCTCCCCCCAACTAAAAAAAGCACCAAATCTTGGCCTCCTTTCCCCCTCGCCCTATATCCCCCTCCTCAACACCTCTTCACCCCTCCTCCGCACATTCCCCCCCAATTAACTTTTAGACTCCTGGAGACGAGAAACTACATTACAAATTTGCAAGCTCCACTCTCCCCCTACTTCCCCGTCAACCTTTTTCTTTGTGGCAAAGCGACAACAGGTCATCTAGTAGAATACAGTTATGTGAGCCGCCCACTCACCTTTCCAGCCCGGGAGAAAAACTCGTAAACGTCCCTCTCATCAGCTTTCAAGCTAATCTGCACAACACAACAGCACAGCAGCCACTCACCTTCACAAATATGGACGATGAAAGCAGACAATGCACATGCCAAGAATGTGAAGCCATACAAGATAGCCGACAAGTGATCCTTCTCGATGTGGCATGCCTAAGCCTATCACACGGGCCCCTGGGCCAGACTTTGGATTTGAGAGCCGTGAGGACACGCGTCCCACATTTTGGGTGGCCTTAGGGCCGGAGACATGGGATTTGAGCTGCCTACAGGCAACACGGAGTCAATTTGTCCTTCGGCGGACTTATGTTGCATTTTTTCATCCTTTTTTTCTACGTTCTTGGCTCTTCTGGTTTATGTTTTGAGTTGGGACGGTTTCATCTCAGAGTACTTTTGTCTGTTGCAGGTTTGTCTGGTCTGGGTTATGCCGCTTCAGACATTGTTTCGTCAGAACACTCAATTTTACCCGTACTGGTTTCCACGTTATGGCCTTCTTGAGGACCAGCAGACTTTCATCTGTAGCTGGGCTGGACAAGGCTTGTCATTTAGTGACACTGGTCCAGCCTCAGCAGGGATCCCTGGACGTACAGTGGGAAGCCAGGCTGGCCGTTCTTAGGCCCTGGGACTGGACCACCACTGAGCCTGCATCTAGGACCATCTATTAGACATGAGATGAGACAACCCTAGATGCAGGCCAACGGGACTTCCGACAGGTCCAGGGTTACATAGTCGGGCCAGCGATCAGTTAGTCACAGTCTGTGTTAATGTTACACTATAGCGAGAGGCTGCTGCAGGGCGGCACCGTGGATGAGATAGGTGGCACGGGGGAGAGACCCCTTCAGCAGCGTTGACGGGGGTGAGGTACGTCCCTAGGTAGCCGCCATAGCTTGGGCCAGCTACCCACCTCTCCTCCCTGGACCTGCTTCAGCTCAAAACACCATCTTTCCCTGTTCAGTATCCTGAGACTGGACCAGCACTGAGCTCCTCTTCTTCTTCTTCACCACCCTCGTTCCATATACGCATCCTTTCATCCTCCTTCCAGAGAGAGAGATCAAAGCCCTGGCTACTGTATCCGGAAGGCTTGCACCCAGGTCAGGAATAATAATAGTCTCTCCCCAAACCCCCATGTTCGGACTAACATTGTTCTGGTGACGATTGGGGTTTGGGGAGAGACTATTATTATTCAGCAGTTGTTTCCAGGTCCCACTCTGTTCGTCTTCTTCCCACCTTTCATCTCCTTGTACCTCCGTCCGCTGTAGATTTCTCCCGATGAGTTGCGTTCCGCAAGGACCTTTCGCCCATGTACGGACCCCTCCTTGCATTTCAACACGTTCATACCTCACACCTTTGTCTATTCAGAGTCTTATTAAGTCTGATTAGTCAGGTTGCTATTTCTGAGTCTTCCGCTGCTCCGCATTGTTGTTCCTCATCACACTGGAGAGTCTTGGATCCGTGTCATGCCTAGCTATTCACAGGCATGCAACACAATACCGCACACCGACCCCTTAAGCTAGAAAGAACGGTAAAAGGTAACCAAGGAAGGCGCAGCCTGATGAGTCACAATACCTGAACGGTAAAAGATAACCAAGGAAGGCGCAGGTGACGAAACAAAAGTCGCAGGAGGAACGGTCAGCAAGTCGATCTACCTGCCCCTTGAGCTAGAAAGAACCAATGGCCATCGGAAGTCAGCAGGATTAGCATAATCAGACCATTCTTTATGCCTGGCCCGTGGTGTTCCTTCAGGCTGGGCAGGCCCATTTTCTTTCTTATTTCCGTTGGCAAACTTAGGCTCCGGCGAACTGGTGGTTTACAAAAGGTTGTTATGGTCCTCGCTCGTTGTCCATCATTATGGGGAGTGTCTGTCCCCCCCTTAAAATCCCCCGCCAAGTTGAGAAATTCATAATATATGACACTCCACACTTCCTTCCGCCTGGCCGCAGTAACACTTATCTGATCTCGGTCATAATATCCCCTGAACAGCATTGTTGCTCCTGTGGCGGATGAGCTTATCAGTGACTGTCCGAAAATCATGCCTCTGATTAACTGGGGGTTGGGGTGGGGGTGCGGGGGGGGGGGGTCTTGTCCACAGCCCTTCTCAATCACGGAATTTAGTAAATGCTGCCTCTGACTAACTGGGGGCCGCCTTTGTGCACAGCCCTTGTAATGCCCACTCACTCGCCAGTGTGCCGCCTTTTGTCCACAGCCCTTGCCATTTCTTCCATCTCCAAAACCTGCCACCTTTACCCGCAATTTTGACTCCCAGCAGCAACCTTCACATGAGGGAAATTCTCTCCTGCGATCAAAACTTGCCAGGCTTTGGCTTTGCAGAGACTGTCTATATCTGATCTCGGTCTCAATCATCCTGATCATTGAAGACCACGCTTTCCTTTTCCATTCGTAAGCAGGCAACTTGTTTTATTCTCTCAATTCTTCTCTCTTCCACTTTCACTCTTATAATCTTCGGCTTWCTTTTTTTTTTTTTTTTAAATCTTCGCCTTACTATGTTTACCTCTTATTGCACACAATGGCCAAAACCAGAAAACACAAATGTGAAGGAACTATACTTTGAAACGAACCCAACCATAATATTCGACTTTGAAGCATCATCACCTGTGCACAGAACGAATGACGACTCACGGTGCATTAACACACAATGCACAGAACGGATAATGGCTCAAAACTATGGACAAGACCGCGAAGAAAAAAGAGAAAAAAGATAAGAATAACTCCTAAATTTCTATCAATAGATGCAATGTTTACTATCGTCCCCCTCTTCATATGCAGGTACTCCTCACTCGCCACAGTAGCAAGTCACATTCTCTCTCATTTACCTACTCGCGACGTCTCTCTCCCTCACACACCACCTCGCCAGATACTGTTACTCGCCAAATTTAAGTTTATTTTGCGCTGGACAACCCAAATTCACCGCTGGCAATATTGCGACAATGGCACCGACAATGCTTGTATTCCTGAAGCAGCGTGGAGTCCCGAACGTCCGATGCAACAATCACCTGAAGCAGCTGGTAAGTCTCAGGTAAGCTGCTTCTTTCACAAGCTTTAGCCGTCACCTCATATCCCTCCCTGCTTCTCTCTCTCTCTCTCTCTCTCTCTCTCTCTCTCACACACACACACACACACACACACACACATGCCATATGATAACAACTGCTACGTGCGCCCCAGCAAATCCAATCATCCCAGGTCTTATCGACGCTGAACTGCACCGTCCCATCAACAATTAAATAAAATACTTAGAGATCGGTAATCTGGGAATTTCGTTGAAAATTGACTGAAATTACTAAATTGCTGTGAGGCCCGACAGAAGTGACATTAGATTGCTTACACACGCGAAGCTTACTCAGACTAACCTTCGCTCGATTATGTAAAAAATCGCCCAACGACCATACTTTGCGTTCGTCGATACACCTTGCCAATCTTGCTTGCGTTCGTGAATATACTTTGCCACGATCTTACTCGGTGTGCCTGAGCCCTAGCCATAACTTCTTCGCTCGATGATGTAATCCAAATCGGTGTGGCTGAGCCCTATAGCCACATTGCTTGCCCAGATAGTGAATACTAAATCGCCAAATTTCACTTCACTTTTTTTTTGGGGGGGGGGCAAGGGGGGGGAATCACTTCACCGTCGGGGCTGAGGGCCACGAACACAGCCCTAAGCCCTCTGGATGAACCGAGAAATCATGAGAAAGTCGGCTGCAGGCCATTTGCAGCCCCCGGGCGACGCTATTTGCATTAGCATAGCAGCAACGTATAGCAGCAGACAGACGATGACACCCTAGCAGCAATATCGCATCCCTAGACTCCGCGGACAATCCTGCTACCACCTCTCAGATGGACACTGAACAACGATGGCAATGTCACCACGACGCCTTTGGAATGCACACCGTGATCGATTTGGTATGACCCCACGAAATTTCGCCCCAACAACGAAGTGCGAAATTTGCGCAGCGTTGCTGCTGCCAATAAGTGTGCCTGGCCTGGCCTGGCCTCCCGTGTGGGGCACAGGCCGACCCAGAGTGGGTGCTTCTCGTTTCCCTTCGCAGCCGTGAGCAAGTGTGATGCAGCCCCGAGGTTCACGCAGCCGCTAATTAGCTCAGTTGTTCCGTTGATTGTTGTTCCGTTGATTGAATCTCAACCAGAGTGGCCTCGATTAGTATTACACAAGAGATCAAGGGGACTTGGCCTCACAGTCTATTGTGCACCCGCTAGTTTAACAAAGCGCTTCACCCCGAGCGGCCTTGATCGTTCAGTGAAACATCCTTCGACAGACGCAGCAGACGGGCATACTATGTCACTGCCGTAGGGGTAATCAGGCGCAAAAGCCAGCCAACCACCCCCACAAAGACACAGCAAACCACGAAAAGGCCCACTCACTGCCGAAGGGGGGCAATCAGGCGCTGCTAAAGCCAGCCAACCCCCGGAGAGGCCCATTCGCGCATCGAGTCCAACTGACGACTGGCTTCTCCTCTGACGGTGATAACAAGTGAGAATTACCGAGATTGGCGATCCTTCGACGAGAGCATATCCACCTTTCATTAAGCCACCAGTACTTGGCCCAGCTATCGGCCATGGAAAAAACACAGAGTAGAAACGTTTCTACTTGGATAAATTGGGCGCTCCTGTAATGACCAGCACATTTCCTAAAATTGTGGCTTGTTAACGGGCAATACTTTACGAAGTACTGGTCGTTTACTGTAATTTGCGCGAGCCCCACAAACAGCGTCCCATTCCACAGCAAAACCGAACAACAGCTATACTTGTGTGGGCACTGTCAAAATCCCCTTAGTGTGGGAAACACGACACTATCAACAGCTACCTTCTTCCCCCGAATACAACGTACGGTTAATATATACCCGTATTTGGGGTGTTTTTGAGTCTATATACAGGGATAATGACCGTACACTGTATTCGGGTGAAGAAGGTAGCGGCCTTCTTAAAAGCTTTGACGATATGTACATAACATAGATGTGTGTGTGCATCTATGCACATCCACTTTGTCTCCGCTCCCATTTGTGCGGGACATGTGATACTATCACCCACGCACATCCACTTCGCACGGCTGTAAGCCAATCTCGGTGACATTCCTCGTACATATCTTTACACCAGGACCCCCCCCCTCCTCTCTCATATGCATCTGCGCACATTGTACCTCCACCCAAAAAAAAAAAGAAAAAAAAAAAAACGCAGATTCATTGCGCTCAGGCTGAGTTATAAAGGGGAGAAGAATATGAGAAAGGCTGAGTTGTAAAGGGGCCGGGGAGAAGAATATGCGAAAGCTGCATTTCATTGCGCTAAGAGCAAACCCGAGTTATAGAGTAACAGGGAGTCCAACCGCCGAGCAGATAAACAGCAACGACAAGGGAAGGTCAAGACGCTATACTTCAGTGAAAGCCTACCACATGAACTGATAGGCTGCTTCGGGTGAGATATCGCCAGAATATCTCAACGTTCGCTTTGGAAATCATTACGACACCGACGAAAAACACCGAGGCTACCTCAGTTGGCACACACCGATGAACCTAGTTGATATACGGACCTGATGCACCTAGTTCGAATCCTGACGTACCTAGATGAACGCAATGAATAATTATGAGCTACCTGGGGCCGGTCAGCTCGATGAGGATATAACAAGGCCGTAAAATGGGAGGGCGGGAGGCGGGGGGGAGGGGGGGAAGAAAGGGGGGAACAACGACGCATCTGGTCTGACAGACCGCCTTAACCTTCTCAATACGCGTGCAGCCTTCTACACTTTACCACATGATGATGGCAACGAGAGAAGTACGGCAGGGAGGAGAGTGCGAATAGGATTACTAATCGAGCGCAGGAGACACAAGGGACAACAACTACGAAAAAGCAGCTACCTCCACCAAAAAAAAAAAAAAAAAAAAAAAAAAAAAAAAAAAAAAAAAAAAAAAGGTTGCTTTATACCTTATTGCGCCAGGGCCAAGATCCCGAAATACAAACTTTTGGAAACAAGTATCCAGCATGGGCGCGCACTCATCCAGGCTTATCTAACGACCCCTGCAGGCGGGTGGGGCGGGGCCGGCGATCCGATAAACTGGTCAACAAGGACCGCTTTCTTCTCATTTCCCACCGTTCAATGGCTTTGTCTACTCCTTCCCTTCTTCCAACTCCTTTGTCTGTCGATCAGCTTACCGTTTGTGTGCACTCGATGGGCTTAAATTGGTATTCCCTCTCCCTGCACGAGCTCAGCCGCCATCAGGTATTCCATCCATCCATCTCCCTTAACTCATTGTGACTCATAATTCCGTCTCCTTCTCGCAAAACCTCCATCAATCCCTGAACGAGCTCAGCCGCCATCAGGTATTCCCTACGCTACCCGCCACCATCGACGTCCACTCTCTCCTGCACCCTGTCCTGAGCGTCTTGCAGTAATCCCTCCCCTTACCGTCGCCTCCCAATGCAGCGAGAGTCCAGCTTCCTACGTGTTCAGATTTGGCAACAGCACACCATCCTGAAACGTCGGTGTATACATCATACACATACACACACGGCTGACAATAATTTCGTTAGGATTTCAGCCGGAAACAGCGACCAAGTCACATCTTGCTGAGTTGAAAGAGCTTTGCCTCGTCAGCCGCCACACCCCGCAAGGGTCCGTCCACTGCCAGGGTCCGCCCAGTGCCAGTGTCCGCCGCCACACCCCGCCAGGGTCCACCGTCAGGGTCCGTCCACCGCCATGGGTCCGCCGCCAGGGTCCACTGCCAGGGTCCACACGCCATGGGTCCGCCGCCACACCCCGCCCGCGGCGAACCTCCATCCCAGGTGCGGTCTTGCTCCGTTTGGGACACATAGTGCGACCCACGACGAAAATGCTCAGACGGCGACACACCCCCATCCCAGGTTCGATCACCGAAGCTGCTGGTTCGACAAATGAGGCAGAACGTAGTAGACGACGCAAGGCGGTTATGCACCTCTCATTTGCACACACCAACCAGTACATTTATCATGCCGAACCCAAACAACTCCTGGTCAAACCCCGCCATTCTCTCCCACCAACACAGTTTCCTCCACGCTACCTGGGAGCGCGTTGGACTCAGAGACATAGAAACCTAAGTTCAGAGACGGGGAGCTCAGTTCAGACAGTCGCCTGAACTGCGAGGCAAAAGAAGAAAAAGTGGTCAAGAACAAAAGGAGAAGGAGAACCGTATGAAACCGACAACTGCGAATCTCCCTGCGAGCAACCAGGCAGACTGTTTTCTTGCCAAAGAATGAAGGTTCTTTCTGCCCTGATTGCGGTTAATTCCATACCACTTGTACCCGGCCGTTCGTGTCCTGGACGGCATGGTACGGTCCCCAGCTACGTAGCGATAACGCAGAAGCCAACACCATAACAAATACTGTACATCGAATGAACGAGAGAGCCTAAAACCTTCGATGACGATGAATGCATGCTAATCACACCGAAAAATGAGCGAGAGAGTCAATCAGGGTGTCTATGGGAAATCAGCCCAGCGATCACCCAGCTTGCCGCCCGCCAACCGCCGAACCAATCCAACGAGCACGACGGAGCGTGATACAAAACGGCCAAAACGCCTCACATTTTCTCTGCGCTCTTCATTCCTACAATGTAGTCATCATCAGACGAGTGGAAGAGAGAGCGCTTAAAACCTTTTCGACGCTGATCACACGCAAAGGCCACGTGCAAAAAATTGACAGCGCCATGTCATCGTCGTCCTTCGTTCCCTGCAGAACGCTAAGAGTATCCTTTCGCTCTCCTGCTGCGCAAGGTCCGTTCACACCACGCACTTCCAGAAGTGCGTGATGCCATCTAGCCGCCAATCGGGTGCGCAACTTATCGGGGAATCCGCTGCCCATAGGAGTCCCTAGTTATAACATGAAGCCCTCTGGAATCCCTGATTACCGAGGAGGTTCCAACTCGTGTCTTTGTGGATAACGACCGGGGAATCCGCTCCGCTGGCCATAGGAGTCCCTAATTAACATGAAGCCCTCTGCTTCGCATGCTCAACTGCGTAACTGCACCCGACCTCTTTCTGTTACGTTTTCCCATTTTCTTCCCCATCGCTGAAGTGATTGGCCTGTCCAGACTTCTTCCTTCGCCTCCAGCGAAAGGCAAAAGCCCCCGACCGAGAAAGCAATACATTTTGCTGTGTTACTACCAGTCTTTCCCGCTCAGACAAGACAAGGACAACGTGGAGGAGATGCGACAGTCTCCCGCGCCCGCGGATTCTTCAACCGGAGGCGGCGAAAGTGAAAAATAACGACAGCAGAAGGGGGGCAAAAGGATACGAGGAAGCAAGATGTGGCTGTCGTCTCTTCACACGAATCGAACGCCCGGTCATTATGGCTGTACTCGGGCCAGTGTTTGGTCTTATTAGATACGGCGATAACGACCGGGCGCTCTATTCGGGTGAAGACGGTAGCTCGTCGATGACCGCATAAGCGCCGCCTACAAGACGGTCGCTGCAAGCGAGTCGTCTCTTACATTGTTCTTTGCGATACTCACCTGATAAGCGAACACAGTCCGCAAGTCCCTTTCCGGGTCCTCTTCCTCCGGAGCGACAGCTTCTTTATCCTTGTCCCTGTCCCGCTCCCTGTCTCTACGATCTCTGTCTCTCGATCTGCACACACAGCGACGAAAAGAATTCCCACAAAATAAGCGAACACGTCGATGACCGCTAAGGAAGCTTCGCAGCAGACAACTGATTCTGCAAAAAGTAGTCCGAAACAGTCCAGCGTGACAGTCCACCGTGACAGTCCACCGTGACAGTCCACCGTGACAGTCCACCGTGACAGTCCACCGGAAATAAAACCCATCTCCCACGCATAAACTATCATTCTCCCTGCTCTCTTCATATTCATCCTTCCTTCCCTAATACTTTTTCTTCTTCCTGTCTGTCATCCTACTGCTCGCCCACTTTTCTCTCCCCTCTGCCACCATTCAAATTACAGCCTCCCCGTCCCCCCCCCCCTTCCCTCTCCTCTCGCTTTTTCAGCGTATTACCTTTACGACTTTTCTCTGCCACTCCTCCCTCGTGTTTCTTTCTCACCCGCAGCTCCCGTCTCCTTCCTGGCTCGCTCCTCTCCCCTTCAGTTCCCCCTCTGTTCATGTCTCCCTCCTCTGTCTCTACCCAACTCCAACTCCTTTGCGCCCTCCGCCCAATGCTGTCTTTTCGGGCCTGCATCCTCTCGCCCCCTCCTCTCTCTCTGCTGCGCCTTCCCCATTTCGCCCGTATCTCCTCTAGAGCCTGCCTCGCCAGTTCCCCTTGTTCTCGCCCTTCGGTCCCCTCTCTTTCCATGTCTCCCTTCTCTGTCTCTACCCAACTCATCTGCGCCCTCCGCTCAATGCTGTCTTCTCGCGCCTGCACCCTCCTCTCTCCCCCTCCTCTCACTCTGCCGCGTCTTCCCCATTTCGCCCGTATCTCGTCTAGGCCTCTGCACCCTCTCTCCCGCTCTCCCTTACCCTTACCCTCCCGCCAATCGCTTTTTTTTTCGTTCTCTTCTGCTTCCGGGCTCCTCGTCTCTGGATTTCAGCCTTCGTCCTCTGCTCTGGGTCGTGATCACTGTCTTTCTCTCTCTTATCATCCAACCAAGTCCGAGAGCCCATTCTTAGAAAACGAAGTACACTGAACAAAAGCTGACGGGAGAAAAGGATGAATGCAGCTTCGCGTGAAAAAGATTGTCCTCACCTTCTTTCACGTGAATCTCTGCGGTCCCGGTCTCGGCTCCGCTCCCTCTCCCGCTCCCTTACTCTCTCCGCACCCCTGTCCCTCTCGCGGTCTCGCGACCTATCTATTGATCTCTCTCTATACCTATCCTTTTCCCTCTCCCTCTCCCGATCTTTGTCCCGATCCCTATCCCTCTCTCTATCTCGGTCTTTATCCCTGTGATCTATGTCTCGGCTCCTGTGTCTTTCTCTCTCTTTCTCCCTCATTTCCCGGTCTCGATCTCGTTCCCTCTCCCTCTCTTTATCGTGCCCTCTCTCTCTTTCCCTTTCTCTCTCTCCTCTTTCCCTGTTCCTGAAATCCCCAGGCGATTTCGACCTCGAATGACGACCCAGAGACCTCCGCCCTCGCTCCCGCTGCTCCTCTTCCTCCCCTGCCCTATTTCTCTTACTCCTATGCCTTTGTCCATCTTCTTCTCCATTCCTCCTTTTCGAGCTCTTCATATCCGCCGGCGAATCTTTTCCATCCCTCTCTATGTCTGCATTCAAATCTTTCGACCCGTTGGGTCTTTCCAGAGTATTTTCTAAATAATCGTACTCGTCGAAGTCGCCCATGGAACTCCCCCACCCCTCGCCCGTTCGCCCCGCCCTCTATCGTCTGCCAGGAACACCTGCCGTGTTGTCCGCAGTGGACCAATTGCTCCCACTCCCAATTATCAGACTCCGATCCCACTTTCTCCTCCTCTCCGCCGAGTTCTCTGTCTCCCTTGCTTTGAACCTTCCCCCTACCCGCGAAACGCGCAGCAACACGCACACAGGCTTCCTCCTCCAATCAACCCTTGCACCGCTAGACAGTTGCCAGGACTCAGTTTGATCTCGAGAAATGATCCGATGCCGTGCGCAAATGGCAACCTCGAATGCCCATCATCAGAGAAGTAAAAACGGGCAAGCTCTCCCACCCAAGAGCGTCAGACAGGAGGAGCTATGGTTCGGAGACTTCGCGTACAAGCCAACCAACGCAAGAACAAGACGGCGAGGTGACACATGCAGACAAGAACGGTAGATGGACGAACGGTCGGCCAGCAACGGCGACTTTCCTCCCACCTCCTTCGCCCTTACGACATGGGCACCGAGCCGGGTTGGCGTAGTAACACATGACAGTGATAGACTGGACGACCCCAAACCCTAACCAAATGCTGAGTGTACGCCGTCCCGGCGACCTGTTCCGGTAAGGTGGTCAAAAGTTTTCCCAACCCCGCTATCGCCTCGCCTGGCACCGTGCGCATTGGGGTGACCGATTCGCCGACCAGTACCCGGCCAGTAAACAACGGACCGACCAGGCCTGGATAGCCGATCTCCAGCGACCCCTTGGCCTAAGTTGTGGCCACATGTTCAAGTTGCGCCCTCTGAGGGCTGGTTTGCTCACCTAAGGGGAAGCACACGGTGGACCTACAGGAAAACACCTTTTTTTTTTTTTTCGCAGCCCTAGGTGTAGCATATTCGGCGACCGCGACCAGGACGCAAAGTGGGTTTCTAGGGGGCAAAAGTTTGGGGGGGATGGGTCCTTGGCAAAATTGGGGACTACCTACAGGCAGCTCTGGAATGACCGGGACTTTTGGAAAAAGCAAGGACCGGTCCTCGGGTGGAATGGACCCCAAAAAGAAGTGGGGATGGGGTAAGGGCCCTCAGGCCCAGGCGTTGAGGGCCGTCTTCTCAAAACAGGGAGGTCAGGCGCAACGAAACAGGCGTTTTGCAAGAGGCACCTTTGGCGATTTTCTGTGCTCGGAGGAACCTGCAGAAAAATCTGAAATTTTGAGAATACATATATGAGGTCGTGTTCTTTCTAGGAAAAATATTAGAACATTTTTAAAAAATCATTTAGATTGGGCACATTTTCCGTTTTTCTCCCTCAACCATGTGCGGGCCAACTTAAAAGGTACTCCAAATTCAGTGAGTTTTCACTCTCAGAAGAATGCGTTAAAAAACCTGACAATCGGAGTACTCGTAGATTTTGTTGTAATCTTTCCAGGAAAAACGCTAAATAAATTTTAAAAAATCATTCCAACTGCAAAATAAATCGCGGTCGCAATTTGACCGATATTTCAATTTTGCCATTCAGCCTCTCTCTCTCTCTCTCTCTCTCTCTCTCTCTCTCTCTCTCTC